GATTATTATTTATGATACTATTATTATTGTTTTGTCGGTTAACACAATTTTTTAGATATTTTTGAAAAAATTATTATCTTAATTAAAAGAGAACTATCGTATTTTGAGACTTTAAAAGTGATATTGAAAGATAGAGAATATAGTAAAAGAATGACCTAAATTTCTTATATACTGAAACTAGCATCTCGAAAGCAGAGAACAGCTTGGCTACTCTAAATTTTGACATAATTTATTTACAGTGTTTCGCAGCCGTGAGTTAATTTAATTCATTCCGAACTGCCTTGAAAAGTAGGTCCGCGTCATTTGCCCGTGCATATGTAAAGAAATATATTGCATAAATGCAATTATGTATTCTACATTCTTCATCATTTATAAACTTTATAATTATGATGATTTTACGTTTTCCTTTGTATTATTATATAAGAATGTATTATTAAAATCAGTGAGTCGGATCATTAGAAATGCGATTATTATAAATTCATAATATTATTTTAATTAATTTTTAAAGTAATAAATAAGCATAAAATTTTAAATAAATTTTTTCATAAACATAATAAAACGATTATAAATTTTTTTATCGATTATCTTACAAAGTGATTGTTTTGTAAATATTGTTATTCCTATTATTACTGAATTTCTTCTTACATTCTTGGAATACAGCGATAGATAAGGAATGAATAGATAAATGAAATCCAAATTGTATTACAGATAAAAGGAAATAGGCATCTTGCTAAATTTAAAGTCATTCTTTAGTCTTACTATGTCACGATCGCTATATTTTATGTGCATCTCAAGTAAGTCAACAAGGAATTTAACTTTCAAAATTCTCTCACGATCCGATATCGTACTTCTAACCTTCGCACATAATGTTAAAGTTTCAACAGAACATTATTGTAATCTAAAGTGTAATATTAAATTCCGATAATCTTAATCTTCAGAAAACGTTTATATCGGAAAAGATTAAAGAATCATAGTGGCAATTTTTTATTTTATCAATTATGTGTTTAAAGATAGAAATGTACCTTCTTGATGATTGATAAATCTCATTATCATCGATAAAATGATATTAAATGATAATAAACGATTCACTGCTGTTGCGAAAAGATGGCTTGATTGAGACAATTTTGTTTTATTAGTCGGCAGAAATGCATTTCTTCCCACCGAATAAACTGGATAACAAAATTATTAACTTAACAAAAACAGGTAACATAAGTATTAGAAGTAATGAAATAAAACAATCGGATTTAAAATAATCTTGCATGAATCATTTTCAAATTCAATAGTTAAGTATCATAAACATCGATCAAATCATTGCGCATTGTAGAGATCTTGAACTTCTAATTGAAAAATCAAGTAGATAATTCGCATGTAATGAAATCGATTGCTATCAATTGGAAGTCGTTCAGGAAATAGAAGTACGGAAATATATTACATCGCTATATTTAAAAACTGCGTACTCATCGACTTTTTATTGCCTAGTAGTTCATTGATTTACCAATCATCGTTATCATGAGATTTATAACACAATACGAATATTTTTGCATGCATGATTTGTGCGTAGTATCTACTATTTTTATACGTGCATAATAACAAACGAATAATGTTTCTCTAAATTTTATAATTTGATAATAATAAATAAATTATCACTATTATTTTAACATCTTGTGAATATTTTCTTATTTCTTCTAAGTTCTTTTGTGAAACAATACATACCTTTAATATATCTTTTTCATAATTTTTAAGAGAATGAGTCTTACTTTTTGCATTATTCTGTTTCTATAATTCTCTAAAATCTTTGGAGCGGAATTTAATTCTAAAGAGTGACAATTGAATCATTGTTGAAAGAAGAGTGGCTCAATCCTCAATTTTTAAGAGTGTGAGTTTACTCTTTAGAATTAGATTCTAGTTCAAAGATTTTACTTTTTGCATCATTGTGCGTCATCTTGAACGTCACATTTCCACATAAATTATAATATATATATAATAATAACTATAGTAAAGACACAATAATAATGTACAATATATGTAACTAGTAGGTCTGTTATTTTTATCTGAACTTCTTACACGATTCATCTTCTCTGTTAAAGAAAAAAAGAGAAAAAAAATGAACCATACAAAAAAGCTAAAAAGAACAGGTCTTATAATAAAATACAATATCCCGATGATGCTCGAGATTGGATTAGTTCTCAGATAAACGCTTCGTTGATTTCAGTTACATTGGTCGCTTGCTCTGTTGACAGAATTTCTCTATTATGGAAATAGTGTTTTACTGTATGTATATGTAATTGCAAGAGATTTAGCTAAGTTTAGCAACTTGTATTGCATACATTATGATGTATAAGAATGGAATTGAGTCATCAAAATCATTATGCAATGTGCCATATTCTCCAGTATATATTACACATGCATTGCATTTGTGTAAATAGAATCTACACGCGACTTTTAATTGTAAACAAAATATTTAAATAACAGCAACATTCTCACACAAGAGAATGTACGATTATGTAATCAGATTCGCTGATAAAGAAAA